CCCCAAAACCCCAAAACCCCAAAACCCCTCAATCAAAGAGCATCACTTATTATAGAATATTATATAGTTACTTTTTAACATATATTTGATATTAGGAGAGATTTCATTAACTCATGATTTTATCACTCAATATAGTTTGTTTTAATCAAGTTATTCATTCCTTTAGAATTGATGTCTAAATTCCCATTTTATAGATACTACTAATCATCCTCTATCATTTCATCTGACTAATTCTCATCATCGTTAATAATACTAACTTCCTCAGTTTCAGAAACATCTGATTACCTCCGCATTCTTTCGATAAAAGCATTTGACTATCTCGAAACTTCTTAAACACTGGAATTTGACTAAATAATGATATTTTGAAAAGAACCATACCACCCATCAATTCCACTCTTAAATGTCATTTGTTCTGTAATATCAGTAGTATTAATTCTTTTGATAAATCCTTGAAAACTATCACTAAAAATTTAAGTGATATACCCTCCCCTTTTCGAGTTTTCTTTTTTTATCAAACTTTCACTTGATCTATCCATATTCCACATTGAAGCTAATTCCTCATAAATAACTTGTTCATAAGGAGAGTAACAGAAATAGAGTTCATGCCATATTTTCAAACTTAAGTGATCTGTCTACTCTATTTTTTCAAAGAATTTTTACTCAGATGGATTATAACCACGATTTAAATATTAATTCCTTTCAAATTCATTATTAACATGCGTCCAAATTGAATCTGTCTCCATTTGCAAATTAAAATCAATTCTTTCTCTCTCGCAATCGAATAAAAATGTCCCATATTTGCAGTTATAGCTCTCATGTGCTAAAAATTTTAAAAATGCTTTATTGAATTCGAATTGACCTTTGAACTATTCTGCCATCAGCATTTAATACACACAATCTAGAAACATAATGAAAATAGGTGATCTCTGGTCATCTTTGTGATTACTTGAAAAATGCCCGAATCTCCTGTGAAACTGATGACCAAATGATACCCAATCTTTCTCAATCAATACCTGAAATCCTTTAATCGTTCTAAAATAGGGATCCAGTATAAGCTATGCTAAGCAGCACAGCTATGCAGTTCTATCCCAGCCATCTGAACAATGAACTAAGACATTACAGCGTTTCGACTTTATCGATTCAACAATCTTGTTAGATCCTTTCAGAATCTTAGAAATCATCTAAAGCCAATTGCTATTTTCAAATTAAATGAGCCATTTTTTAAAACTTTATTCGTCAGTTGGTTCCTTTAACAATTCTATAACTTTTTGATGAGAGTCTCTGACGCTATGGATATTATCTATATCACAAAATTATATCTCGCATTACTTATAATAATCTTTAGTATTTTCATACCCTCCTTGATTAACTCTATTGGCTAGTGCAGCGACATATGATCTCGCATCATAAATCATTAGTTATCCATTAGATTAATTTATCTCATTATTAAGTTGCCCTATTAATTGAAGGTACTTTTCATCACCCTAATTTCTTCCATTTAAAATTCCTTATTTGGGCTGACTTGATCTGAAAATTGAACAACCACTAAATTTATCAAAATAGGTCAAACAAGGCAATCTTCCCTTTGTTCTAAAATTTGAAGTTTGCAGTATTAATCTATCATCTGCTTCTTTTGGAACTATATTTATCTGTGGGTATGATGGACATGTCTTATAATTCTTATTCTCCCATAATCTAAATAAATTACCCTATAAACTTGATTAATTGTGAATAAATAATTAGCTTACTTCATTGAGATCTATACCTTGTCTATTAAACTCTATAATAGGATCACTGTATACTTCCCAACCATTACCCTAATCTTATTAATAGATAAATTTCAATGCTGAATAAAGTTTGTGATTAGAAGCAAAGAATATTCTTTGTATTAAATCTGGGAACGTTAAATTGGTCAAAATAACATAGATTTCATTGACATTATCAATTGAATCGAAAATTAGTTTAATCTCTCGATAGTCTTTTGTGTTGATAATTATCCTGTTTTAACAGTCTGGATTTTTTTCATTTTAAGCTTATCTTTCAATTTTAGAGATCTTGCCAAAGAAAACTGTCAGGTATTATTTTACCTTGTATGATATTGGTTCCTCTTATTCTGTACCATCGTTTGGATTTGTATGACGAACATTTGGTATTTATATTACAATTTTGTAATTTGTTATAATTAGGTTACCAGTTAGAATTGGAAAATTCATATAATCTTATATTTAAACATCTACCTATATAGCATCTGCCATTTGCTTCTCCCCATATTCTATTTCCTGATTTTCAAGTCCTTCAATATTATTTTTCAAATCATTTCTTCTTTTAATGATATCAATCTCAAAATAATTTGGAATGTACAAGTAGCTATTCATTTTAGGGTCGTTTTCTTGGAAATCTAAAATTATTCATTTAATAAATCTCTATAATTTACCTTCTTTTGATCTTTCAATCATAATGGCATCAGAATGCCTGTTATTGTCAAATTCATCAATATTATCTATATCGTCTAACTTCTCCTCTTGATCAATCTCTAAGAACTAATTATGAATTGTAGAAGCATATATCGGAATTTCATGCTTTATATCTACGATTGATGAATTAATGCCTGGATTCTTTGAATTTAATTATTATATATTGTCATGACTCATGATTTGTAGATTCTAGTCAGATTCCATTAGAATAATGCTAATAATATATTATTAAATTGAATAAATGAGCATAATAACTTTTTTCCTACATATTTTTAAATTTCAACATTTAGGGGTTTTGGGGTTTTGGGG